TGCTGTTGCTGTTGATGTTGCTGCTGCTGTTGCTGTTGCTGTTGCTGTTGCTGTTGTTGTCGTTGTTGTTGTTGCTGTTGTTGTAGTTGTACTTGTAGTTGCACTTGTAGTTGTAGTTGTAGTTGTTGCTGTTGGTGTTGTTGCTGTAGTTGTAGTTGTAATTGTAGTTGTAGTTGTAGTTGTAGTTGTAGTTGTAGTTGTAGTTGTAGTTGTAGTTGTAGTTGTAGTTGTAGTTGTAGTTGTTGTTGTTGTTGTCGTCGTCGTTGTTGTCGTCGGCTTCGTGGTGGTGGTCGTCGTCGTCTCCGTCGTCGTCATCGTGGTTGTTGCCGTTGCTGTGGCTGTGGTGGTGGCCGTTGCCGTTGCTGTTGCTGTTGTTGTTGCTGCTGCTGTTGTTTTTGCTTTTGTGGCGGCCCCAAAAAATCTACGTTTGCCCCTTCTTAATTTAACAGTATATATAATACTACTAAATTTAGAAAACTTGTTCAAGAGCGGCCTGGGCACATCTAAACCTAACGACTCGAAATATTCACGGACTGCTGGCGAGTTGATCTTCTCTTCAAACATTGTGTAGGTTATGACCCCGTCTTGGTCTCCAAGCTTACCGAAAAGGTCCCGGATCTTTTGGAGGTGGGCTTGCTTGTCAGCGAGAATGGACTGGACCACCGCCGTATGATCATTCTGGGCAGACTCGATTGCTGACCTAGTCATCTGCTGGCTATAATGCGGGAATGACCCGTCGCCCTGTTTACTGAGAACAGAATGGCTTCACAATCCCGAGCATATACTTACTTCACAGTGTCCAAGATGCTGGCAGAACACGCCAGTGACGACGTTCAATACCTGACTGAAGCGAAACAAAAATTGGTCGAAGGGTTGAAGACATTGTGCATCTTTGCCAAAATCACTGGTTTTGAGGCTGTCTTTTTGGAATCCCGGGTCTCCGACTGAGGGTTGTTGGGGCCAGGGTGCAGGGTTTTGCTGCACGCATTGCAGGGTTGTTCACACCTCACTCCAGGCACATGCTCATAGATACGTATCATCGAAGTGTTGTCAAAAGTCCACAAACAGTTTCCATGATGAGGCTACGCCTTCACATTTAAATTTCTTCATGCAAATTTGCCAGCGGAGCGAAAGCTTCAGGCAACCTAGTCGACTCGGCCTGTCAGCACACAAACACACACACACACACACTCAACCAGTGCAAGACACGAATATGCAGGCAAATCAAAATCCAGCCCCTTTCACAACTAGGTTATTTGCTTTACGGTAAAGGATGGCACCCCAGAAGCTCCAAAGCTCAAAACAAAAAGCCGCCTTGCTGGGAAGCCCTGAAAAGCCTAATCATCTTCGAAAAACAGTGTGACGTGAAAACATGGCATGCAGCACAAAGAAGAACTCTGCCCCTGAAGACCCTGTCCGTTCGTGCTGGATTTCGGCTTTGACTGCGGATGTAGATGACTCTTCACTTGCTCTTGCTTCAGCTGGACACTTCTCATGCCCGAGCGGCAGCAAAATATGTAAAAGATATGTAGAAGAGGAAGCACCATACCCAAATAGCGGACATGCCCCTCAGGGGGACCAGAACTTCTTCCCAGCTGACACCACCACCGATGCTCATAAAGAGGCCTTAGGAATCTCAACAGCTACAGTACAGCTAAGGTGCAGCATAGGCAGGGCACTGGCATAAAAACACACAAATATGTCCGAACTCACAACTCAAAGGGCTCAGCATGGTGTCTGGCAGATTCTTGAAGAACCGGTCACTCCCGCTGACCATCTCGTGACTGAGTGGATGATTCGCCACATCACTCCGGTAGTCGTTGACCGCCTGAAGGGTTTAAGTAAACTCATCCACTACATCGCAAGTCTCCATGGACACAAGTGGGTCCGTTGCTGGCTGTCAAGATGTCGCAAGATTCTGAAGGGCGACCTTACATCTGATCTTCTGAAAGATGGCGGCCGGCTTTTCCCTAGTCCTACTCGCAGCTGACAGCACTCAGCACATTGCATTGGTCAGCACGGGCCCGCAGGCTGTTGGTCTGCTACTTGTCCCAAGCATCAACCACCTGAAAAGCACATCAACCGCTTCTCATGCTTCGCCTGAACAAAGAGAATCGCGAAACAGTAGACGATGATAGCCAGGAGAATCAGGGCCCAGAACAAAGACTTGAGTGTGTGGAAGATGGATGTGACCAGCGTACGTAGAGCCATGACGAAGCGGAAGATCTTCATCAGCCGGATAGCCTTCACAATCCTTGTGATGCGCACAACGCGGAAGGCTTTGAGGCTGGAGACACCAGCAAAGCCGCCAGCATCCTCGGTTCCTGCCCGTGAAGCCGCCACAATGTCGACACCAATATCCCAAAGTGAACTAAGTACGACGACGGCGTCCAGAAGGCTCCACAGTGCATCATCAGACAGGAAAAGGTTCAGCCCAAAGGCCATCAAACGCGCAACGAACTCCAAAGTGAACAGAAAAGCATATGCATACCTCAGAAGTGAAATCGCAAGCTGATGCTCACATTTTCATGACTAGATGCTAATATCTCTCCAGGTCCGTCTTTGTAAGGGCATGAGGCAGGAAGGTGCCAGCCCAAGATTAAAAATGTTATTCTCTTGTCAGGCCTGCGTGCCGCCACTTGTTTGTTTCACGCGTGTTGCTGGAAACCGCTTAATGATACAGTACCCACACCGCAAAGAAAGCCTCTGTTAAACTGCAGAATCCGGTCGTTCTGGAGTTACCCATGGTCTCGGAAAACACGCTCGTGGGGTCTCGGCGGTTTCTCTTCGCAAACACTGGAGGCGAGACCGGTACAGGAGTCGTCGAGGTCTTTGAGCCGAGCCTCTGAGTGAAGGCTGCGACCAAAGCAGAACCCGAAACTCGCGATAACTCGTGACCGCGGGTCAGTCGCGATACACCACAAGCCTAAGCCTGGACTCAGCTGGGTACTGAAAACAAGCGCCAAACCAGTGGAGACAGAGAGGTTGGCCCCCGGCATCCGAAAAAGTACTGCTTCCTGGAAGCTACACAGCTGGACGAAGTGACTCTGCTCTCGTTCTCTGCCCATGAGCTGCAGTGCACAGCTTGGACTCTCCACCAGCCTATGTCATGTTAGGGCATGTGATAACTGCACACTTATATAAGGGCCGAGTTGCTGCAAGACTTGGAACGCCACTGGTGTTGACGAGGACCCGAGGCTTTGCTCCACATCAACACCAATGAAAACTGCATTGGTCAGCACTACCATTCCGAAAAACACCTCGAAGGACGGATGCTGCACCAAAGCCTTCCAGATTCTCCTCTCGCTGCCCTGGAAGGCTCGGGAGTTCCGAAGAGACGCGAACCGTCTCCTCTCACTCTTCGATCCCACATGCAAAGCCTGCTGCTTATGCTCCAAATCTGTTTGTGTGTATGAGACGAAAATATTCGGCCGCAGTGACGACATGTCGGTTTGGCTTGGGGACACGGAGTCGGCCTTGTCTACCGCGTCGCCCTCAGGGTCAGCTTGATCATCTTCATACTGCCGAGTATGCCGAACAACACCATCACGCGACGTCCTTGATCTTTCGGACACGCCTGTACGAGTTCGTGGAAGTGCAAGCACTGGTCGCTCGAGAAGCCGTGACAGCATGTCATCCTGGTTGCTCAGCCGTACCAGGAGTTCCTGGTGCTGGCTTTTCAGAACGTCAATGGAACATACCAGATGTTCGCCAGCCTGCTCCCCCCACACATCCTGCGGCAGCAATGTTCCATGGACGTGACATATGGCACATAAGAAGAACACAACAGCTGTAAACTCCGGTAGTGGCCAACCCCGTTGAACGGGCAATCGAAGACCCTGTTCAACAAAAGTCCTGTTTCATAGTGCTTGCTGATGCCGCCATCGCATGCTCGCGCGTTTGGGAAGGGTTGTGCTTTGTGCTCTCTAACCCTGGGCCCTGGCCGGGAAGTTGCCATGTGTCACTGGTTAGCCGCCTAGCTGTCATCAGGATTTGATGCTGCTAGCACAAAGGAGCATCGGTGCGAGTAGCACAGCGGCCGCAAGTCCTCACATCTGCCTGTCGATCTTGCTTTTGCATTTGCTCGCAAGGCTGCAGAATCGCGAGAGCGGCCTCCTGCCGCTACACTTGCAGTCGGTATGTCGAGCTGTCCGTAAGTGCACATCTCCCCACGAGAAGACAACATCGCCAAGATGTAAATCTTCGTGCCGGATTTCAACATTGGCTGCTCTTTACAACAATGCATGCCTAGATCATGAAACACGGTCCGGCAACACTTGGCGAGTCTGACATTGACATGCAGGCACGAGAAGTATTTACAGTCATGCACTAGCCTGCCATCAACAGCGACACCGCATATGCAGCGCGACAGTGAAAGCGGAGGGGGGGGGGGGAGTGCAGCGAGCTGGCAGACCTGTTGACATCATGTACCCTATTTTGCGGACTTCAATTCAACGGGCAACGGGTAGCCAATACACGCTATATACGAGTTGGTAGCATACGAAGAAAGACGGCTTTGAATGCGCGCAGCGGGCAAAGCCAGTTCCATTTCACTTCGACAAGCTATGTACCGGAATCCAGCTCTTGGCCATAGCTTCACCAAGACCGTGCACGTTCACAGGAGGCCTTCGGACACGATGACATCGGCCCAGGACATGGAGCGGGTGCCGTTGTCAAACCTCTGCATAGCGCTTCTTCGTTCTGGCCATGCAGGACTGCATGAGCAGTGATAGTTAGTTTCTGACGGCTGCAAACTCCTCTTGCACATACTGCTGGAACTTCCCATGGCTCTCCATTTGCCACTTCTGGTCCTGAAGCACCAATCCGACATCCATCGCTCGGGCATGGCTGCGGAAGCGAAGGCAGCCGAGAAAGAACTCCTTCCGTGGCTTAGGTCTGTTCCAGAGACATAGAAAGCAGTACAGACCAAGGGAGTTCCACCTCTCTGTGTTTTGTGTTAAAAGCGGCGGCTCGGCGCAGACACGCAGAATCCATTCGAGTCCCTTTAACTCCTTACGTCCCGAGTCTCTCGATGAGCTCATTCAATTCAGTGTGTTTTCTTGCTGTGCTGTTCTTTGCCTTCCCCTTCCTCTTCCTAGGTTAGCTAGTGCTGCAAGCACAGAAAGGAGTTTGAGCCCTCCAACTGTTCTCAAATTTCCAGAGCTTGGAGTACGCCCAACCCCCAGCTCTCCCTCGTGGAACTTCTAGGCGGAAGACAACACAAAGACTGCAAGAGCTAGCAGATTAAGCAAGGGTCCCGCACGCTCCTAGAGCTCGACGGATCCGCCGCCGTCAGCATCCAGCAGCTTAAAGAAAAACCATGCATCCCAAGGGTGAATCGGTAGTAGTAGTAGTAGTAGTAGTAGTAGTAGTAGTAGTGGAGTAGTAGTAGTAGTAGCAGTAGTAGTAGCAGTAGTAGTAGTAGTAGTAGTAGTAGTAGTAGTTTCCTTCTTCTTCTTCCTTATCATCTGCAACATCTTCAACATCATCAAGGTCATGATCATGATCATGATCATCGCCAGCAGCCATCATGTTACTATTGCTATTATTATTAATTTGTAAGTAGTATTATTATTCTCATCGTCCTTTTCTTCATCTTCAGCATCGCAGCAAGAAATCCAACTGCGATCCGTAGCCTAGCCGAACCACTCCACCAGGCACCCGATGAATCCTTTGAAACATGCCATCGTGCTGATGACTGCCAAGGTTGCTACACTGCTACACCGTTCATCACGATTTGAAGTCGGAATCTAGGTTCCCCAGTAACCCCTTAACAATAAGGGTACCCTTTTTCCTAATATTCGGCTGTAATAAGGAGACCCCCCCCCCCAAATAAACAGGGCAAAAGGGCACTACTGGGGAGCCTAGGAATCAAAGGCACGGGAATCCACGAGACCATCTCATGTCGTTCATCACGACCCTAAACCCTAAACCCTAAAACCCGAAACCCTAAACCCTAAACCCCAAACCCTAAAACCCTAAAACCCTAAACCCTAACACCCTAAACCCTAAACCCACAAGACCATCTCAAGTCTACTTGCAGGCTCGGCACAGCCGACACCATTGCTTTGCTGCCGTGTCAAAGCGCTCCACACTCGCCTCAGGGCTCAGGGTTTTCGGGTTTAGGATTTTCGGGTTTAGGGTTTCGGGTTTAGGGCTTTAGGGTTTTAGGGTTTAGGGTTTGGGGTTTAGCGTTTTAGGGAAATAGGGTTTAGGGTTTGGGGAATAGGGCTCAGGACTTGGCGATGGAGGCGGTGCGGAGGATGCTTACTTTGACTAAGTGGGGTTTAGGGTTTAGGGGTTTAGGGTTTAGGGTTTAGGGGTTTAGGGGTTAGGGGTTTAGGGGTTTAGGGTTTAGGGGTTTAGGGCCATGAAGATGACACGCATGATGCACTTCTCAATTTCACTTTGATGCTGACGTTGCACCGACAAGGTGGACCATGACCGTCATCATGATCTTGACTGCAGAGGGCCGGAAACCTAGTACCACGACGACAAGGATTATCAGCTTGCTGATGATGTTGTTCAAGCTGATGCTGTGCTGATGCAGGTGCTGCTACTGATGGTGATGATTTGGCGATTGTTCTGGTAATAATGATGATGGTGCAGATAGCATGTTCGAAATTATTGACGAGGGGTGGGTCATGCTGCTGGTGGTGGCGATGACTGGCTGTGACATTACACAACACGATCTCGAGTTCAAGGACACTTCAGCGCTTTCAGCAATGTGCACTTGCCAGGGTTCAGGGAATGGAAGCTGCATGAAGCTGGCATCGCCGTAACAAGCGGCACCAAGGGTCTATCGCAAACTTTCGACAGATCCTCCTGCGCTCGATCTGGACTTTCCAACTACGAACCCGTCATAGAACCTACCTGGCACAGCGAGCTCTACCGACCCCTTATCCCAGAGACTCCAAAACCCCTAAAGGCAAAATCCTTAAACTATTCGGGGAACCCAATAACCCTAAGGGTCCATGTACCCAAATAGTATATACTTTGGCCCCAAAGTACCTACATAGGGACTACTTAGGTTTCTTCCTTAAATCATGGGTTTTGGAGTCTTCGGGTATCAACATGAACCCTAAACCCCTAAACCCTAAACTCTAAACCCCTAAACCCTAAACCCTAATTAAACCCCAAACCCTAATTATTCCCCTCACAGGACGCCCTAAGCTCCTAAACCCTAAATCCCCTAAGCGCCAAACCCCAAAGCCAAGCTCTTGCATTTTTAGGGTTTAGGGTTTAGGGTCTTAAGCCGTCACATGGGTGAATTCCCTTAATGTTGGGGCCTTAATAATTAGAATAGGGTTCAGGGGCTCTGTAAGGGCTACTATGAGGGTTTAGGGTTTAGGGGACTTGATAACTGGAGTAGGATTTGGGGCTCCTTTATAGCACTAAGGAATAATCTTGGCAATTCTTGGGGCTTCCATGGACAGGACCGCCCTTACATGACCTACCGATATTCACACATAACTCTCAAAGCTTTTGACTTTAAGCAGAACCCAACTCCTCAACCGCAAAACCCAAAGGCCCTACTCCTCGGCCAGAAAAACAAGGATTGAGATGCCAATTCCCGAGTCCAGAGACCCAACCTTGAAGTGTATAGGATTTCAGGGCTTAGGGCAACACGCCCTAAACCCTAATTGACTGATTACCTCAACCATAATCCGACCGACTCAGATTTTTTCAGGTAATATAGGGTTTTCGGGTTTAGGGTTTCGGGTTTAGGGGTTTAGGGTTCAGGGTTTGGGGTTTAGGGTTTTAGGGAAATAGGGTTTAGGGTTTAGGGCTTGTTTTTAGGGTTCGTAGCCTGCAAGCCCTGTGACCGTGCTGGCTCCTAGGGTGAGTCCCTTGCCAAGGACTGTCCATCGTCACCGCCGACGATGTACAAAGCCCCTGGGGTCAAAAGCACTGTTACTTATGGCTTGGGTTCAGGGATGGGTTTGGAGTCAGACTGTAGCGTTTATTCACCTTGTGTCACGAGAAGTAAGAACTGTCAAACACTGCGTGTCGCAGCAGGACACCGACAGTGAGAAACACTGACATGACTGAACAGGCGCATGGTGAGAGCTATGCTTTGAATGTCGTCGTTGGTAAGAGCTTCAGACACTACTGTTTCCTGACAGCATGACCTGCAGTAGTTTCAAGCTCGCCATCGGGAGGTCATTCCGAAAACCGAACAACGCAATGGGTATAGTACCGGGTATGCAAAGCATCATTGCTCTTCTCCCGATTGCTGCTCCTGGCATTGCCGATGTGGCGGCGAGGAGTCTTGTCATTGTGATGAGCATGTGTGTGAGACTGCGCGTTGACGGATTGTGTAGCTACTGCTATTGTCGCCACTCATGCTGGCATCATCACTGTTTTACCGTTGTTCTCGTCCGGCGGGAAAACGGAACAGTAGAGGCAATGGCAACAGCAACGGCAACAGCAAGAGCAATGACAACAGCAACCGCAACAGCAACAGCATACAACAGCAGCAGCAGCAGCAACAACAACAACAACAACACCAGCAACAACAACAACAGCAACAACAACAACAACAACAACGGCAACGGCAGCAACAACAGCAGCAGCAGCAGCAGAAGCAGCAGCACCAGCAGCAGCAGCGGCGGCGGCGGCGGCGGCGGCAGCAGCAGCAGCAACGGTAACAGCAACAGCAGCAGCACTCTGTTGTCTAGTTGTACAGCTGGACGGCTTTTAACGTGTTTCCGGCGTTTCTCATCAGTCGGGCGTTCGGCAGCAAGTCGCAAACTCATGTCGTGGTTTTCTGCCGCTTGCAGGAGCAAATTCTGCCAATGAGGAAAAGATCTTGAACCTGACTCTTTAGGGTTTAGGGCTTAGGGGTTTTAGGGGTTTAGGGGTCTCAGGGTTTAGGGGTTTAG